ATGTGAAGACAGACACAGACTGGAGAGATGCTGCCATAAACCCAGGATGCCCGGAAGCCACCAGAAGCTGGCAGAGATACGTGGATTCACCCTCAGAGTCTCAAAACAGAACTAACCCTGCTGACACCTTGATGTCAGACTTCCAGCCTCCTAAACTGTGAGAGAATACATTTCTGTTGTTTTAAGCCGGTAGCTTTGATATTTATTTAATTTATACTTAAACATTTATGACTTACAAACTTCTACGGTTAAAAAAAATGATTAATTTATGAACTACCTGGCTCTACCAGACAATCCATTCCACAAAGGCAGAGGCTGTGCCTATCTTAGTCATTATTAGAAATATGCCCATGAAATAAGATGGATATAATTAGTATCAGTGAATGAACGGGCTGATGAAGAGAGAAAACTTTTCTCCCAAGCTTATTTCACAGAACTCTCACATGCAGATTTCTGCTAGAAATAAGCTGGTCTGCTTACTGCCCACCACTCTGCCACTTCCACACCTCTGCTTACCCCATTCCTGCCTGGGGTAGCCACGCCTCTTCCATCCAATCATACCCAGGTTTCAAAGTCTAACTCAAATACCATCTCTCTATATGTGGTTATTACATAATCCTCCACATACAAAAGGCACTAAACAAATGCTTGTAACTAAACTTCATCTCTTTAGAAAGCAAAGCATGCACAGTGAGAAGGGGTAACGGTTCTTTGATATTCACAATTTATATAGTAAGCCATTCACTCACGTTATCTATGATAGATGGGGTGACGCGTCAACTTGACTGGGCCACAGGCCACCAACGTTTGATTACTGGTGTGTCACCAAACATTCTGGGTGTGTCAGTGAGAGTATTTCTGGATGAGATTAACGTTTGAGTCAGTAGACAGAGTAAAGCAGATTGCCCTCCCTACTGTGGGTGGGCCTCATCTAATCCACTGAAGACCAAAATAGAACAAAAAGACTGAGTAAGAAGGAACTCCTCCTGCCCCACTTCCTTGAGCTGGGACATGGGTCTTTTGCTGCCTTTGGTCTTGAATGGAAACATCAACTCTTCTTGGGTCTCCAGCCTGTCAGCTTTCAGGCTGGTACTGGTAAGTATACCCTCAGCTCTCCTCGTTCTCAGGCCTTCAGACTCCAACTGGAAATATACTATTGGCTCTCCTGGGTCCCTGCCTGCACACTGCAGATCTTAAGACTTCTTGGCCTCCATAATCATGTGAGCCAATTCCTTATAATAAATCTCAATCTCCCTCTCTCTCTCTCTCTCTCTATATATATATATATATATATCCTATTTGTTCTGTTTCTCTGAGAACCATAACTAATACTTATTTTAATATGATATTTATTCTTACAACTGAATTTTCATTCATATCACACCACAGTTCTGAAAAGCACCTGGAACAGAGGTATTACATGGTATTTATAACAAGATTAAATTATTGTGCTCCCTGAAAATTTTGTAACAGCCATTAGAAAAGACATCCACTCTTTTCGCTAGAATCATCAACCAGGAGCCACTTAACCACCAAGTAGAAAGAGCCTCTTTGAGAACAAAGCCACATAGGTGTAGGCAGAGAAGAGATGGTAAGAAAGAGACATACACACAGTACTGCAGACGTAATTTAAACCCCTGAATCCAGCTATATTTGACACCAGCACAAGTCTCTGACTTCTTCGTTATGTGAGCAAATAATTACTTTGCAAATTAGTCTGAGTTAAGTATTACTGTTTGCAAATAAAATCGTCTTAACTGGGGCTTCCCTGGTGGCGCAGTGGTTGGGAATACGCCTGCCAATGCAGGGAACACGGATTCGAGCCCTGGTCCGGGAAGATCCCACATGCCGCGGAGCAACTAAGCCCGTGTGCCACAACTACTGAGCCTGCACTCTAGAGCTCATGAGCCACAATTACTGAGCCTGCATGCTGCAACTACTGAAGCCCGTGCACCTAGAGCCCGTGCTCCGCAAGAAGAGAAGCCACCGCAATGAGAAGCCTGCGCACCGCAACAAAGAGAAGCCCCCGCTCGCCGCAACTAGAGAAAGCCACGTGCAGCAATGAAGACCCAACTCAGCCAAAAATAAATAAATAAAATAAATTTATTAAAAAAAAAGAAATCGTCTTAACTAATACAACACTTACAGGTGAAAAGACTGAAAAGATTGTCACCTTGGCTTTACCCAAAGTATTTTTTAAGGTCAAAAAAGGATTAAAACTTTTAACAAAATTAAAAGGATCGACGTTAATATGTCTATTTGCACATTGAAGCAGGTTTTATATAGCTCCTATAAACTCTAGAAACTTCATTATCCTTAAGCCATTATATGCACATACTCATTGAAGAACATGAATTTTCCATTATGAGCATTTCTAAACTTATTGATTACCAAGAGCTATCTTCAAAGACCAAATTCCTTGTCAAGGTTTCTAGTTTTCTAGTATCAAAATTAAATGAATTCATCATTTGTATTTCATTTTTTTAGATTTTTTACATAATATTTATTGAGCCCTTACTATATATGCCAGGTGGGCACAGCCATCAGCATCTATTTAATGGGAACTTCTATGGAGTATGGAGTATTACTATCACTGTACCATTACAATCTTCATTTTAAAGTTTAATAGGAGGGATTACAATGTTCCTAATAATAACAGTAGTGGTGCTACATATTTGTCAAGAACGTACTATGGGGGATTTCCCTGGTGGTCTAGTGGTAAAGAATCTGCCTTACAATGCAGGGCATGTGGGTTCGATCCCTGGTCAGGGAACTAAGATCCCACGTGCTGCGGAGCAACTAAGCCCACGCGACACAACTATTGAGCTTGCGCTCCTCAACTAGAGAGCCCACGCGCCCTGGAGCCCGCATGCCACAACTAGAGAAGAGAAAAAACAACCCGCACACCACAACTATAGAGAAGCCCGCACACCACAACGAAAGATTCCCGCATGTCTCAACGAAGATCTCGCATGCCGCAACTAAGACCCAACGCATCCAAAAATAAATAAAATAAACAATAAAACAAAGAACGTACTATGTCCCACACACTGTACTAAGTGCTTTACAAGAAGTATCCCATTTAATCCTCATTTCTGAATCTTCTAAATTAGGTACTATTATCCTCATTTTATAGATGAGGAAACTGAGGCTTAAAAAATTAAATGCAGAGCCAAGACCTGCACTTCACATCAGAATCAGTACACAAGGTTTGAAAACATTCCACACCACATCCCAATAAATCCCATAACATTATCCAAAGTGGATTTCAAATTGCTTAATCAAAACCTGAGCTCATCTACATTACATTTGTTCTTGAGTTGCCATGTGGTTTACATTTGTGTTTTCCTCTTTAATTCCTCATCTCTGGAAAAGGTAAAGATGCCCATTAAAGGAAATACATATTATTTATGATAGCTCAAATGAATAAAATAGGAGCACTAAAATTACAGATTCAATACTTTTTATACTACAGACTGTTCCATAAGTGGGCAGACTTTAGAAACGATGAGATTTTATTTCAAATGTGCACCGGTGTTAACAAACTATTGTTAAACTGAGAAGTCTTGCTGGAGGTAATCCTGTCCCTCTTGGGGGACATCTCAGATCCTGAAAATTGCTTCAGTACAAGTCGTCGGGTAGCACATAAGATGGCACTGATAGCATTAATTAATCCCATGAAACAAGATTGGAATCTTATATCTACCCACATTAAGTACAAACCATACAATGCACACACGCATATATAACAAATGCAACCAAAAATATATTCATTGATAGTTTATCACTGAGAAAGCTCCACATGACAAAGTTTAATTGTTTTTCATATAGATAATCATTTTCTTACTTTGAGTATCAAAAGTATTCTTACTGCATGTATTACCAGGAGTCTCCCTGAAGCCAACTGCAGAAGCACGGGAGGCAAAAAGAACCAAGGGGCTAGCTTGTAAATCAAGCCATCACAGGTCAAGCTCCCGTCAGTCAAGACAGGCTCCCTCAGCTGGGAGAAGGGTTGTCACACGCTGGCTACACACTTCATAAAATATACCTTCCTAAGCCAACAAGGAGTGGTCGAGCTCTTCGGAATATAATTAGGTCTGGTTTCTATATTGTGCAAAAAAAAAAAAAAGGCTTTTTAATAAGAACAGATCTTGAGAAGTTTAACAAATATCGGGGAGCATCTGGTGGAGCTGCCATCCTTGAAAATTTGCTGAACTGACTCAGACTGCAGGCCAGGCCCTGAGGAAGCAGGATCAGGCACGCGCTTTAATGCCTGACGCGCTTTCCAACATTTAATTTTATAAAAAATTTATTTAATAGTGATATGTGGCATGCACTTTTTTTAACTTCAACTTTTTTCTTTGATAAAATTTACAGTGTTGTCTGAATTATAAGGTGCCATTTTAGAGCTTAACATATTTGCATTGGGTGCTCTTAGCAGTCATCTATTGTGTGTGTGCTATGTGAGCAATGGAGTAAAAGGAAAAAAATACTCCCCTTCTGTTCATTAATACTCATTAACTGTTCTGCCGCCATCCCTCCCCCGCAAAAAATATTCTGTTTTTAACTCAACTTAATTTCCATTCCAAGAGTTTGGAGGGGAGGAAAGGAAGATTTCTTTCCATCTCTATTATTTCTGAGTAGGTCCAGGAAAAGTCCCAATTTTATGTTCAGGAGTCTTGTCATGTGGACCTTGAATAATAAACCTTATCCCTCTGGCCACAAACATTTTTAAACCTGCAAAACTCCAGTCATGTCCCCTGTAGAAAACAGATAAAGTTCTAAATGGATGTTTTTGAAGATGGACTGAGATTCTCCTGCATCCTATACAGCATAGTAGTTACTGCCTCTCTTTCTAGACCTCTTTTACAGCAAGCGCATAAGCCCCCGGACAAAAATATAAGGTCCCTGCGACCCCGAGCCCATCATTGGACCTCGTTTGCCAGAAGCATCCTGGGCACCCTACACTTCTCTACCTGAGTGCAGTGCATGGGACTTACTGGGGAAGTAAGACATCTCTAATGAGAGCCAGAAGACTGCTGTCAGAGTCGACATTCGCCTCCTTCTTGCCATCACCAACCTCCTGGTTCACGAGCAGAGATGTGGTTTCTGAGAGCAGCCGCAAGCTGAAGAGTCTCCACTCCACTTGAAAGAAAACAAAATGCCAAGAACGTGACCACATGGAGATAGAATGAAAACAGAATGTGTAACTGATGGAATTCTCACTGATGTGGTCACACTTACCATTCCCGCTTTGAACCAAGGAGACCAAGGGTGGCAGGATATAATCAACCACCTAAAAGGAAAGACGTAAAAGACTTGGTTCAAATCCCTACAAACAAAAAACTGATACTGTGAGCGAACTCAAGTCCGTGTGCCTGACACACAGTGAGGCCAAACAATACTGAAACGTCGCAGTTTGGAGCGGACAAAGGTTTATTGCACAGCCCTGCAAGGAGACGGGCGGCTCTTGCCTTAAAAACCCTGAACTTCCCGAAAGCTTTGAGCAAAGCCCTTTTACAGGAAAGGTGAGGGAGGGGCAGGGTTAGTTGTTGGAAGCTTCTTGGTGTCAGATCCTTTGCTCTTGAGGTCAGGTCATGATGTTGCTGTAAACGTCCACCAAACAAATGTTAGTCTCTGTTCTGACAAGAAGGGGCAAGATCCCAAGGCTCAACTTTCGCCCTCCGAGGTCCAGGCCTCGTTAAGAGGAGGGGTCCCTGCGCGGGCCGGTCACCCTGCCCAGGAGTGCTGCTCCAGCACCCAGCCCGGGTCCTCCCGCCAGTGCCTAGCCCGGCTGAGGAGGCAGATCTCAGCTGGCGGCGCCCTCGGTGCCAGGTCCCCAGACCCCGCCCAGCCGTCATCCCTGAGGGAGCCAGGCGCCCAGGACCCAACCGGCCCTCAGGCTGCCCAAATCAGGGGCCGTGTCCCACGCACTGCGACCCACGGAGACCACCGCCACCGCCATTAGGTCGTGGAGGCAGGGATGGGGTAGAGGTTCGCCGCTGCCTCGAGGCCGAGCCTGGACCGTGGGTGGCCTGGTGAGGGCTCTGGAGCCCTGCAGGACACAGTCCGCAGCCTGCCCCCAAGGCCCCCAGCTCACCCACCGGCCCAAGGCCAGAGGGCCTGGAGGGCCCCAAGGAGAAGGCCAGCCACGATCCGCCTCTCACCGCACTCTCTGCTACGCGCAGACCACTGTGAGGCTGACTGCTGGGGGAGCAGGACGTCTAACCGCCCCACTAAGGGTCACACGCTGTCACTCGCGCCCACCCCACCCCTATTACAATATCAACCACTACCCATGCCTTTTCCACTGACAGAATCATTAGTCAAAGGACTGAAAAAAAAGCAACAGCTAAATTTACCCAGGATTTAAACTCTGCATGACATTTAATAAACCACCAAGCTCATTTAAATCTGAAAAAGTCCTCAGGTCAAAATGACATTATGGTCATCAAGACAATAGTTTATCAAAACCTTCAGAGTTTATGAAAGGATCTTTAGTATATAATACAAACTCTGGTTGGCATGGGTTGACACTGAACCATCAAATATAGATATGTAAGCTGGTGATAGTCAGGTTTAAAGTAAACAACAATTAAAATGTTGGAGGAAAAGGAGATACATAATCCTCATGTTTTTGCAAATACATCAAAGCGCTATGACAAGTTAATCTTGGTGATTTTTAGAAATAGATTCCAAAGATCTAAACCCATTACACAAACCACCTCTATGATTTTCTAGTTATATCAGACAGAGCACAATCAAATATGTTTTGCAACCTACTCCAAAATAACAAATTTACCCCCCAAATGAAAATGGATGATGAAGAAAGGACAAATCATTTCCACAGTGTAATTCTGAAAACTACTATCTCTTTTGGTGACAATAAACAAAATTCCTGTTGTTTATAGCTGAACTGATTCCTGATCCTAAGATGTGTATTTGCTCTCCTCACCACACTGACAAAAGGGCAGGAAAAGCGGTCCACGGCCCAACACCACCCTCTTGCTGTCCAAACCAATGAAAGGATACCCTACACAGGTAAGGATCTCCACATATGGGTAGTGGTCCGTCAGTGTTACCCTGTTCTAGCTCCACTCCACAAAATAAGTTTATACGTAACATTATATCTAGATATTTGTACCACAACCCTAAGAACTAGGGATGTTTTGTTTACCCTCTTCCATTAAGTGACATCACATCACTCAAAGCATAGACATCAAGCTTCACTAAGGAATTTTTAGAACTCTAAACTCCCAGGTACACCAAAAGCAAAAACTATGCGAAGAAGAGAAATATATCCCACTATCAACCGCTATCAACACGCTCAACATCTATCTTGAAGGTTTAAGAGAGCATATTAAGAGAGGAGTGGGACTGAAATTATCTACATGTCCAACTCAATAAGTTCGAAAACCAACAATTAGGCATGGTCCAAAAAGCAAGGCTGTCGGAAGATGAAGAGACAAAAATCAGTAGTTTTCCAATATGCCTACAACAACCAAACAAATAACATAATTAGAAAAAGATACCATTTACAACAGTAATAAAATTCCAAGGTGTCTACGACATCATGACTTTCACAGAAATATATATATATATGTGTGTGTGTGTGTGTGTGTATATATATATATATATATATATATATATATATATAATATGTATGACAGCCATCGATGGACTTCTGAAAAACAGCTTGAAAGCTGTCACAACCATGCTCAAAACAAGAAAAAAGACAAACTGAAAATCAGTAACTCTTCTCAGACATACCAGAGGCTTCAAGTCGCAGGGCAAACCAGCTGTCCCCCAGAAGTGAAGAGACAGGCAAAGACAGAGAATCATGGCTTAACAGGAGCAGAAACCACCCGTGGAGCCAGCAGCTGGAGCAAAAACATAAAGGGTAACTGAGTAACTGCCGGTGTCTGAGCAGAAGAGAGAAAACCTCCTTCAGGCCCTGCGTGCACCTGCACCTGACACGGGGAGGGGGGTGAGGTGAGACGCACTTGTGAAGTTCACAGCCCAGGCGCACATGCTCAGAAGAGGAATGAGACCAAATCAGAGGGGCTACGGAACCCTCCTCCCCCCACCTCACCACATCAATAGGGCTCCTGTGTAATAACAGGATTACAACAGAGAGCTGCTTTATTATAAAGACACAGGCTTTATTTCAGAAGGAGCTATTAGGGAAACCCAAGACAACAGGAGAGACAAAATAAGGACATTATGGGGAATTTTAGCCTCTGAAACCTACAGCTACGGCAAACAGTAAACACAGCCTGGCTCTTAGCCAGATAAACACAAAACTTCACACTAACGGCTCAGTGATCTCAGTTCATTTTACCTGATACATCATGCTGGAGTGAAATATTTGAAGTGCTGAGAGGGAAAAAAACACCACCCTAGAATTCTGAGTGAAATTATCCCTCAAGAGTAAAAGGAAAAATAAAGACTTTCTCACACACACAGTAACTGAAGAAATGTTTTGCCAGTAGACTTGCCTTGCAAGAAATGTTAAGTTTTTCAGAAAGAAGGAAAATGACATAGGTCAGACACTCAGATCTATATGTTAGAGAAAAAATAAATGAAGGTAAAATATAGTAATTGATGAGAAGCCTCAGAGAGGTCAACTCTGTGCAAATTAATCTGTAATTCCAATAAAAATAAATATTCTAACGAGGTTTGCATGAACTCCTCATACTGATTCTATAATGTATTTGGAAAGGAGAGGGTCAGGAATAATGGAAAATTTTCCAAAAAGCATGAGGCATATTTGGTTCACCTTCTCAAGTTTCCAAGTTTACTGTGATGGAAATAAACATGATGGCACAAGCAAAGGGGTAGACAAAGAGATTCATGGAACAGAACAGAGAGCCTAGAAACAGATACATATGGGAACGCAGTAAGTAGCAGATAGAGTACTACCAACAGTGGAAAAACACATAGACTATTCACTGAAGGAATAGGTACAATTTAGTTGTCTATTTGGTAAAAAAAAATATCATAATGCTAAAAAAAAATTACTGGAGGCTTAAAGATCTAACAGTTAAAACAAAAGCTCTTAAAGGAAAATATGAGAGAATGGCCTTTGTGTTATTAGAGTAGGAAAAGCCTTTTTAAATGATACCTAAAAAGTACAAACTAAAAGAAAATACTAACAGGGATTTCCCTGGTGGCACAGCGGTTGGGAATCTGCATGCCAATGCAGGGGACACGGGTTCAAGCCCCGGTCCGAAAAGATCCCACATGCCGCTGAGCAGCTAAGCCCGTGCGCCACAACTACTGAGCCTGCGCTCTAGAACCCACGAGCCGCAACTACTGAAGCCTGCTCGCCTAGAGCCCGTGCTCCTCAACAAGAGAAGCCACCGCGATGAGAAGCCCGCGTGCCGCAGTGAAGAGTAGCCCCCGCTCGCCACAACGAGAGAAAGCCCGCGTGCAGTAACGAAGACCCAATGCAGCCCAAAATAAATAATTTTTTTAAATACTAATAAATTTGACATTAAAATGAAAAATACTCGTAGAAGATGAGTCCTCATAAACAAAATGAGAAGAAAAGCCATTGGCTAGGAGAAAGTTCTGCAATCCCTATACCTGACAATGGATGAATATGCAGAATACATGAACAGGGGACCCGCCGAAGGAGAATACCTAAATAGCCAGTAACCATATCAAAACTACTCAACTCCACTAATAATCAGAGAAATGAAAGGTAGAACAAAACAGATACCAATTTACACAAATCCAGTTAGAAAATCACATAATACCAAGACTGGGGGAAATGGGTACTCACATACCACACACAAAAAAATCAGTATTTAACTTGGAAGAACAATTTCACAATACCAACCAAAGCTGAACATGAACACAGCATACAACTCAGCAATTCAGCTTCTACGTGACACATTTAAAAACACTCACTGCAGATCTGATTTCAGGAGTGAAAAGACAGTGAATAAATCATTACATTTATATTTCATTATTTAATGAAAACATCAACTTGCAAAATGATACAGGCAGCATGACACTATGTATCCTGAAACAATACCTATAATCTTAAAATACATACTAAATGTAAATTTCTGTATTAAAAATGTATTTCGTAAGTCTTAAAAGAAGAAATCTATTTAATTATAATATTATTTAATTTTTAAATTAACACAGTATTCCTCTGAATAACTCAAGGCAATTATAATAGCATCCCAAGATGATACAAATTTAATCCTTCCAACTGAGAATGATCCTTGAGAAGAAGTAACAGGAGGGTGGTAATGGAAAAATAAAATGCTTTTTATAATACGT